TATATATCAACTTTCACACAAAGCAATTAAAATAAATTTTGACCAAAACGGGAAAAGGGTGTGTGGGGGAGCGGGTTTACTTGTAGAAAACAAGACCAAGGGTAACACTCATCAATAGGGGGTGGGTCCTAGGTACTGTTGATGCATACGCAATGGATCAAGATTAGGGATCAGGTTCACCTTTTAACATTTGTCATTCACCATAACCTGTGTTTTACCGGTCTATCCTTGTGTATGCTTTCCTTCTCTCTCATCAATGAGAGAGAGATACGTGTGAGAAGATACATTTGATGTATATCGTATATAGTTGATATACATAGACAGCATATAGATATACTGTACACATCTAGTCTGTACTACTTTAGGGTATGATGTGTTCTGAAGAACAAACACAGACATGGGTCCAAGGTCATTCTAACCTTTTTCCTGGTGAAGGAGTGATCGGCTTCTTCACATCCTTTCACTAGAACCCTCTCTTCCCTATCATAAATTCAGTCTTTCAGTTGTATAAAACTATTGGAACGAAATACTAAAATAAAAAAGTGAAAGAAATGGATGAAACGTATGGGCTGAGGGATCTATCCCATTACATGAACGGAACGCCCATCTTCCCTTCCATATCTCTGCAGCCACAGACTCATCCTCCTCGTGACCTGCACTATGCCATGGTGATGTTGGGAGGTGGTCCTGGTGGTGGTGGAATGTCGTTTGGATCTGATTCAACGATGGGTATGGGGTCAACAACTTCAGGTCTTAGCGCAGACAGCGGTGGTGGTGGTGGTGGCGGCGGTGGTGTTAATGGTTTAGACATGGAAATTGGTGGTTATGGTGGAAGATGGACAAGGGAAGAAACTCTAACACTTCTTGAGATCCGATCAGGACTTGATTCTATGTTTAAAGAAGCTAATCACAAAGGCCCTGTATGGGATGAAGTTTCCAGGTAATCTCTCTTATTCTCTCAACATCCCACACTAGACATTTTCCTTTTAGAACAAAATTTTGGGGTTTTTTCTCTATATAAAACAAGTTGTTTTGCTTCCCTCAAAGTGGTTTTCTCTAAAGAATATAAATATATTATAGAATCCTAACTCCCAAGAACCTCAACAATTATCCAGAGCTTTCTTTTATCACTTTATTTTTCTTTATTCCTTCTTATTTGCTAATTTAATGTTTAAAGATCAAAGCTTTACCCTTTTATGATGTAAATAAAAGTCACTTCAAAACATTCACATTATACTTGAAGGGTTTGATTAATTCTCTTAAGGTTTAGTACGTATAGCTTTCTTGAAAACTATTTTATGAAGTGTACATAATTTTCACTTCTTTCAGTTGAATCAAGTAATAGATCAGATTGAATAGAGACTAGAAAGACGCACCTTTCATGGCTAACATTAAACAGTTATATAAAGACTCCAATTTGGCTATTCGTATTCGTGCATGATTATCACTTAAAAGCTTTACTGAGACCTTTGAATAACTAGGTTCAGTTTCTCATTCCCAAAACTTTTACCTTCATTGTTTTGTCGTTTACTTTTCAGGATAATGTCTGTGGAGCATGGTTATAGAAGAAGTGGGAAAAAATGCTGTGAGAAATTCGAAAACTTGTACAAGTATTATAAAAAGATCAAAGGAGGAAAAGCTGGAAGACAAGACAAGAAGCATTACCGATTCTTTAGCCAACTAGAAGCTATATACGGGGAAACAAACGCTAGTACCAATCAGGATGATCCTAACCTGCCTTCAGTCTCTAATAATTTACACCTTCCAAATAATCCATCTGTGTTTGACCCTTCCTCATGTTACTTCGTAAATCACTATGCACCATTGGCTCCATTCAAGGAAGATAGTGATTGTGTGGAGAAGACGGATAACAAGAAGAGCCTTGGGAAGAAATATTGGAAAACCATGATAACAGACTTCATCGAAACAAAAACACAGACACTTATGGAGAAACAAGATGCATGGATGGAGAAGATGATGAGGACGATAGATGAAAAGGAAAAGGAGAGAATTTCAAAAGAGAAGCAATGGAGGAAAGAAAACGCTGCAAGATTAGAGATAGAAAAGAAGTTTCGAGCAAAAGAACGAGCATGGATGGAGTCTCGAGATTCAGCTTTAATGGAAGCTTTGCACAAATTAACAAAAAACAAATCATGTACCATTAAGAGTTCGTCTCCCGAGCATAGTAATGATCAAAATCATAATGTCGCAGGTTGGGGAGAAAATGAGATTACACATCTAATACAACTAAGAACTAGCATGGAAACAAGATTTGAGCAAGGAGGGTGTGTGGAAGAGGTTCTCTGGGAGGAAATTGCCTTATCAATGGCTTGTTTGGGTTACAACAGAAATGCATTGATATGCAAGACTAAGTGGGATCACATAAATTTTCAATTGAGAACCAAGAAACGAAAAGAGAATACCAGATGTTCAAATTTTTATTCTCACCACAATAACAACATTCATCAAGCAGGAGAAAGAAGTGATTCACAAAATGATCCACCGAATGATGGTGGCTATAGGGCCTTAGTGAATGACCCTGAGCTGATCGGGAATTATTATGGGAATAAGATCACCAAAGGAGAGAAATATTAGGCACTATTGAGGGTGTGGTAAAATAACTAATGAAAGTATGTTGGCAAGGATTAAGTTTGGCTATATGTAAGGAAATATTTAAGAAAGATCTGATAGTGTTTCTTGATTATGTAAAAGAAATGTCATACTATATATATGCATGCATGGAAACATCTGACTAAAACCGATGTCAGTGATAGTTAATAATTAAATATATCCACTGTTCAGTTTGATGTTACTTGATCTTTTCATTGATTAGCTGATAATACTTCGAAGAATGGTTCAAATATTCCTCCATGATTGAACACGTTTATATTGATTGGATTTCAGATTTAATTCTTCTGATTTTACTTTGTAGAGTATCCTTGTCTGAAAATAAGAAGAATCAACTCCATCAAGTAACATTTAGTTCCTCTATGAAAATAATCACTTATATGTTAGTTCTCATGGCTTCTCTTTGAGAGTTGATTTTTCCACAAAGCATTTTTAACCATGCACTGGTTTTTACCCTCATTTTTTAGATAACCAAGTTTGGAAACTCCAAATGACGCACGGCTCCAAAAACACACGACGAAACGAACCCTTCTTCCTTCTTTGGCGCTGCTTTGCATCCTTGTGTTTCTACAATCCAACGGGGTTTTGTTAAAGATTAGGGTATTCCTTAATTTCATAAACTGGTCGTTAGTTTGACCCTTTGAAGCAGCACCGGCTGAAACTCAAACAAGTATCTTTGGTGTGTGCCTCGGTAAAGTTTTGATACTATTAATGCTTCAAATCATTGTGGTTTTGTCATCTCTGGAACCACATTCTTCGCCTCAACCTGAAATACGAAAGGCATTATTGTGCAAAATTTAGAATGAGAAACATGAACTTCATGATTGGAAAGTTTATCATTTTGCCATCGATGTTGTAATTCTCTTTGGTGGCTCTCCCTAGAAAAGAAGGATCTACAAAGATTACAAAGCCAAACCCATGAGAACAACCGGTCCCTCGATCCTTCATAATCATTGATTTTAAAACCTCATGGTACGTACCTACTAAAATACCGATGAAGGCGTTCTTCATTTGTATCTATTAGTCGATAATTTAAGAGATGATTTTAAGGATGTATAATTGCTAGGTGTCATGTATATATGTATCTTAATTCTTATGTACTTGTATAAATACATAGATTAATAAAATTACATGCATTGTGGGAAATACATCTTATATGGTATCAGCTTGGGAAACATAACCCTAGCCGTACTCACCTTCAACCCTTTCCCTTTCTCACGTCTCTCATGGCTTCCTCCTCATCAGACCTCTCTCTCAATACAATTATTCACCTTCTCACCATCAAATTAACCTCCTCCAATTTCATTCGCTCGAAGAATCAAATTCGTCATCTCTTATCCTATCAAAACCTCATGGGATATGTCGATGGTTTTCTTCAAACACCTCCAGCAACCATCAAAACTGATGGAAAAACAACACCAAATCCAGCCTATGAAACCTGGTATAATGTTTATCAGAAGACCCTTCTCATCATCCAATCTTCCTTATCAGAAGAAGCTATGGCAGAAACCCTTGGCCATACTACCGCTAAAGAGATTTGGAAGGCTCTAGAGAGTGCTTACTCTCATGATTCCAGAGAACGTCTATAAACCTTCAAGACTCTTTTCGCCAGATTCAAAAAGGAGCCTCCTGTCACCGAGTTTGGCAGAAAATTCAAGTCAATTTGTGATCAATTATCCGCTATTGGTAACCCCGTTGATGAATCCGATAAAGCTCACTATTTTTTATGTGGTCTTGGGGATGCATATGAATCATTCTCCACTGCTCATAGGGTTGTTACACTTTATGCATCTTTTCGTGTACTTTTTTCTCAAGCAGAAAATCACGAATTGTTTCTTAGCTCCTTGCATAGTCCTGTTTCCACTCCAATCGCCTTCAATGTTGAGTCTCAACAGGTTTCATCTCAACCATCACCTAGAGGGGGCACTGAGGACGAGGTCGCTTGAACTATTCTGGGGGAAGAAAGTGTAGCAAAAGACCACCCCATTTCCAACTTTTCAGAAAGAACAGACATTATGCTTCAACGTGTCCAAATCTCTCCACTTATGAACAAGGTACCAGTGTTGATGTAAATCTAGCTCATGCTTTTCAAACGCAATGCAACACTACTCAGTCCAAACCCGATTGGTATGTTGATTCTGGTGCATCAACCCACAAGTCAAACTCACCATCACACCTTGACTCATCCTCAACCTACTCTGGAAAGGATCAAGTTGTTTTTTAGAATGGTAATTATCTAAATATTTTTTATTGGTCATTCTCTTATATTGAAAAACCTTCCTCTCTTGGATGTTCTCGTGGTACCCCATCTCAGAAAGAACTTACTCTCTTTTAGTAAGCTAACCCATAACTCACCAGTTGGTGTTCTTTTCTCTAATAACGTTTTGCCATCCATAATCGCATGACTAAGGAAATAATCGCAAAGGGTAGGTGTGAAGATGGACTTTATTTAACACTCTAAATTTTCAAACAAATATTTTTCATTTTTAAAACCACATAAACACAATCTCACAGTTTCAAAAACCCAAATGTATAAATTGTTCAAAACACAAGACAACAAAATGTTTGATAATATCCTAGAATCCTCAAAACAACATGATCTCAAACTGGTGTGTACAATCAAGCCGGCGCCTTCCCGCGATCCTGTGAGGTACCTGAAACACATATCACACAACACTGTAAGCACGAAGCTTAGTGAGTTCCCCAAAATACCATGCATAAATAATTAGCCTCTCATGGCTATATCTCGATAAGTACCCTCCAGTCATGTGTCTCAGTGAAGGCCCTCCGGTCTCACAAATCGGGTCGAACCCTCCAGTCCGATATCTCAGTGAAGACCCTCCGGTCTCACAACTCGGTTTGGACCCTCCGGTCCTAACTCAATAAAGTACGGAAATAATATACAACATAAATCA